GCTTTTCTAAATTGTAACAGACTTGATCATTAAAACAAGACAAAGACAATGCTACATTCAGGCAACAAAAATTTTATTTTTTACAGAAATGTATAGTGCTAGGCACGTGTATTTTAATTATTATTCTGTTATATACTGTGAGTTGTTACACCTTGGTTCGGGTTCTTTGTTTGTTCATTTCAAATTTTTCTATTGCGCGCCACCTTATGGTGGATTTTGTCAGTGCCATGATTGGTCCCTTGGTGACCACGTGTGTGGTGAAGGGAGGAGCGTATAGGAAGTTAGAAAAAGGGCGACCCGTGAGGAAAAAGGGACTTGGTCTTCTTTCTGCTGTGGGATTCCTGGACTGCGAAAAGGAAGACAAGGGAAAAAAAGGACAAAGGAGGTAAAGCTCGATCCATATGCAGATGAAGGAGCGGACTGAACAAAGTAAGTGAAGGAATCGGATTACATCGGACTCGGTATTCGTCGGGGAATTATCTAACTAAGGTTGGGTAAGGAAACATCGTCAACCTGTTTTCAATGGCCCATTAGTTCGGACAAAGGATGATTTCTCGTTTACATGTGGTCGCAGCTCCAATCGGACATCCACTCACAAAGGAGACTGCCCTATATTGATTATCGCGGTAGCGGATCTGCTATGTAATTCATCTGTAACATCCATTGTGAACGATTTGATACCGTACCCGCGAACTTTGAAAGTGATTGTGATAATAAGGAAGCAAAATTGGTGTAAGATCGTTACGAGCATATAGCTTATGTTCTCTAGTACTTATTGTATCAATGCAAAGGGGATTCGATATAAAATTTTCTTTTCTCTAAAATTCGTATAAGGTCCTCATTTACTCTTACCCACATTACGATCTGGATCACTTTGGTGATCCCTTCGATCTACAAATGTTTTTATCTTTCTGGAAGCTCTCAATGGCAATTCAAATAGAACAGTTCAAGCATTTGACTGCCTTAATCTAGCAATATCTTTCTCTCATTTAAGATGGCATCAAGTTCCATAGAGTTTGATTCTTTTATCACTAGTTTCCTCAAATGTCACAAATAGTATAATATTAGTTATGTTACAGAATTATCACATTCATTCAGCTACCAATAAAACATATATATTTGTGTCAAACAACTTAAAAAGTATTATAAAATTTATATTTATATTGTGCATATGCACAAATATAAATAGAATAAAGTAGAATGTTTAAAATTTTAGGCTTCATTAGCTAATAAGTGTTTGAGCGCGGATGCAAAAGAAAGAAGGTTGGGCATCGGGTTAGCAACTCATCCCTGTAAAAATTATGAGTGCTACGGAAACAGCAAGAATAAGTAGAAATTTTGATCAAATGAGTGGAACTTCAGCTCCAAGTAATATGTCGGAGAAAACTGACAACAGTGTCCATTGCCCAATGTCAGAAATGATCTTTACTGCCGGAAATATTACAAAAATTGGAACATGGAACGTGCATCCTCTATATCATAGTGGAAGACCTGCTCAGCTATTATGGACATTTGATGAAATTGGTTGGACATCCTTGGCATCAGTGAGATTACGTGAACAACAAACGGTTGAATCAGTAGTGATGGCAAGACCATTCTGGGCCCTTAGTCTCAAGTTTTTGTGTTGTACTCGAACTGACGTCATCAAACTCACTTGTGTTACTATGACTCACATAATTGGTAGTCTCGAGTTAGACCCTTCAAGCGAACTTGAGAGGCAAGTGGAATATGTCATACTCACTTGGTCGCATGTGTCGTCAAGCATGATGGGATTATTTACAATGCATCTGGGTTTGCGACTATAATGATTCGGCCAATCAACTTAATTGTAACAAGTTGTAAACAAATCAACGTGAATTAGTTTACATGTGCTACAGTTAAAAGTTGTCTTATAGCAATATAGTACGCAGAAACAAAATGAAAATCTCCAATATTTTATTTTAAAAAATAAGCAAAGAACAAAAAGAAATATTAGTAACATATGTAGAAAATAATAAGAAAATGAACAGCGGAAAATTCGACGACAAATTTACAAGAAAAAGACAATTCGCTTTGTGGAGAGAATTAGTTGAAAAATTAATTGCATATGTTGGAGCTAAAAAATCCCTTATGTAATGGAAAATGTATTTAAATTTAATCCTTTCTTCATATAGTTTTCTTCCTTGATCTATTTCTTAAATTGTTTTGTCTATTAAGATTATTTATTAATCAGAACTTAACACTTCTGATTAATAAATAATCTTAATGTAGTNGTTTGCCTCTCATAACTGTTGAACAAAAAGTCCATTGTTCGAAGCCAGTCCGTTGCTCGAGTTACGTAATGGCCAAACATTGAAAGTCCGTTGTTCGCAGCGTCCATTATATGAGGCACCACTGTATATAATGTTCTGCATGCTGATATAGTAATGATTGATAAGTTTAATTTCTAGCAACTTTAACTTTCTCCTTAAGAGCTTGTAATTGACTCACCTGCCATGTAAGTTCCATGCATCCCGTTTATATCATATACACCAAATTTCCAATTATATGTGCTAATTAGTGCACAGACAACTGGAATGCAGCTCTCTAAACCTTCTAAACTATAAGCAAGCTTGGTCAAGCCAATCTGATAACATGCTCCACAAAAGAGAATCAAATATTACTTTTGTTTAAAATAAATTTTATAAATTCTTGGAATCATGTAGTTATTGTGCATGTGTGTGGACATGTGCAATAAATGGATTGAACAAAACATAACACTTAGTTAATGAAAGTGAAGTCATTGCACGTGCATGTGGACATCTGACAGACAGACAAAAGTCCTAACATAAGCACTTCGCCACTATAGTAGAGCATGCTAATAACTATCCAGAGGTTTTAAGTGAACTACAGTATATATACATCTCAACTCTGTTATGATATGATGCAAATATAAATCTCAAATTTCATAAACTAAAATGTATATTTAGTCAATAAACACTGATGTAGATTTCTTATATTTTCAAAAAATATTGTGTAGAAATTTAACCAATAATTGCTTAGCACTTTAACACTTCCTCCAGCAATTATTTCCTTAAAAATACAAATGTTTATAAATTTTTCTTGCTGTTTGTTTACTTGAGGAAGACTGCTGAAAAGGTCAAAAATGTTTGTATATTTAAGAAAATAATTGCTGGAAGAAGTGTTAAAGTGCTAGGTAATTACAGCTATCTCATTTCTAGCTTCTGTGGATGTTTTGGCAGAAATCTGAATTTCATATACAAGAACCAATAGACAGTAACCATATTATAGTCTGAATTTTAGATTTCTATGCATATTCTTATATTTTTTTCAAATTACTGTACAGTAGACCCCTATAACGCGAAGATAGGTTCCTCATTATACGAATTTCGCGTTGTAGGAATCCTTGGGCTGTGATTGGCTCACGTATTTGACACATGTGAAGTTTATGGACTACGGCTGTTTGAAAGGTTTTCTTCCATAAAATTAATTGATTCTAGACTAATTTGACTTAACATTTCCAAAATACGTATATATTTTTTGGAAATAATCTGTATAAACTAAGCTATAAACAAAAAATTGTAGGATTACTTACCGAGTGTGCACCATTCGACATCGCCGTTGCTCAAGCTTGTTTTCGTCGCGGAACAGCGCAGCAAACTATGGCCACGATTTCAGATGTTATTTTTCTGTGAAAACTTCGTTGAACTTTGGAGACATCATTAATATAAATAATTTTAATCGCCGTTAAATAAGAAATGTTTCTTTCACAAGAAACGTATAAAATTACAGTACTGTATTAGACTTACGGTACCTAATTTACATACTGTACAGACAATAGCTCGCCTAAACTCTCCGTAGCGTGGCGCTAGACGGCGGAAAATAGTTTGGCTGCTTGTCTGCGATGACATTTTACCGTGTTTTACGCGTCCCTTTTAGCATCTTTGTACGAATACTGATGCAATTTTTTCGCCGCGTCATAGGAATCTACTTTATTGGAACCCGCATTATAGGGGGGTCTACTGTATTTTAATTTTAGGTCTAGTAGCATCTTGTTTTCAACTATTTATAGCATATAAGTGTGATTTGAAAAATATTATTTTCAAAATATTTAGTTTTTAATTCAGTATATTCATTTCAATTATTAAGATCAGATATTGAGTAAATAATACAAATAATAATAAATCATTAATAATCTAATCAAAATAAATTTATAACACTACTTTCACACAAACCTTGAAATATCTCCAGTAGAAAACTTCCAATAAAATATAATACAGTAATACCCCGAACTTATGCAATAGGTGGGACCAAGCGATAACCACGTAAGTCGAATTCGCGCAAGTCAGGGTATAATTTCGCAATCTGTGTAAAATCCAAGTCGCATGTATGTAAGCTAATAAATGTTCTCGTTAATCTTATCTCGCCTTTTGATTCGTTCACGGTTGCAAGAAATCACCACATAGAGTCTCTCAAGTCTCCGTAGATATAACAAACACAAAATAAATTGTAGCTATGCGTTGATTTCGCGTGACACGTCCAAATATTTAAGCTGAACACTAGTGTGGGGGAATAAGTAATCAAGAGTTGCATGGTGCACAAACAAAAGACGCATTGACAAGATTTGAAAATCGCATAACTCCGAGTTCGCGTAAGTCGGGGTAGCATAAGTCGAGGTATTACTGTATACACAAATGTTTTCGATCTATAAATAACATCTACATCATGTCTCAGTCGTGTTCCAAATTGGAATGCTAGTCTGAACACATTTCAAGGTTCATGTGAAAGTAGTGTTATATATTTTCTTCAAGCCCAGTAAAAATTCTAAAATAAATTTATAGTTTTATGGAAAATTAACTGCTAATTTAATTTAGTGATTTCTTCCATAAAGTTTTATTTAATTTTCAAGATTCTGAATACACATTTTATTCAAGAAATACATACACAACTACATTCAGTTATATAAATATTTTAAAATATATCAAAAAATTTCAGAATAAATTTAAAAAAAAAGAACTTACTATTTGATGTAACAATTTGTTTTTCTATTGAGTCCATTATATAGTTTATCACTATAGAAAAATATTTTTAATGAATATATAGCAAGAAATTATTTCTATTATTCACTTATAATAAATTTTTATTAATATTCATTACTTCATTAAATATTACCATTTTTTGCTTCTTGTGACGTATCCAAATGTTTTTCTCTTTCTTCTGTACTTACTTAAAAATGTGAAAAATTTTAAAAATTAATTGCTTTTTATTATCCTAAATTTTATTATAATAATTTGAAAATAAATATTTTGTAATTATTAAAGATAACATTTTAAAAATATAAATTAAAAATTATTACTATTACTACTAGAACTAGAATAAATTAATTCTACCAGAAAGTTTTGAATTCTCACTTTCCTCCAATCTGACAGTTTGTTGAACTAAAACAATAAATAACAATTACATTAAAAAATTACCAACACCTCTTGATAAATTTCTCATTTACAAAATTGTATCAATAACAGCAAATAAAATCAATTTTAATTAATGAACTTACTTTCAGATGCAATTATTTGTTCTGCAGAATCTATAATGTTTTGAAGAACTGTAAAAAATAAATCTTTATTTAAAACAAAAATAATTAATAATTATTAGTAGCAAATCACTAAAAATAACTTAATATAAAAGATATAAAATTTTTTGTTATTATGTATATAATGACATAAAATGGACTAAAATACTGTAAGGTCTCGTTTTATGCGATGGATACATTCTACAGAAAAGCACATATAAAAAATTCGCATAAAAAAAGACTTTACTTGCCTTGAAAAAGTAGGGATATGTTCCATAATTTTCTAAAATCACATAAAACCAAAACAATGAGTTAAAATTAACTTAAAACTGCATAAAATAGTTTGCAGAAATTAAAAGAAATAGGCTGCTTAATAAATTACTTCGAATGTCTGAAAGAAATTCATATAAAAGCTTAAAATAAACTTGTATTCAAACTTAATTCAGTTTATTTTATTGAAAAGTAATACAAGGGGAATCCCTGAATTGCAAAAGCTCACTCTAAAAACAAATCACTGACATCTGGATGTGAAGAGTTAATTAAAACCCTTTTAGTTCCTCGCCCGAGTTAACTCGGGCAGGATACATAGCGTTACATAAAACACGGTCCTTAAGGCC